CTCCTCTCCTCTCCTCTCCTCTCCTCTCCTCTCCTCTCCTCTCCTCCCCTTTTCCCCTCTCCTCCCCTCTCCTCCCCTTCCCTTTTCCCCTCCCCTCCCCTCTTTTTTTTCTCTTTTTGTTGTTGTTGAAGCTCCACTCTGTATGGAGTGATAAGCTTTCAGTGTTAAATAAAGTAGATTCCAGACTGCCCAGGGAAGTGATAGAGTCACCTTCTCTGGAGGTATTTAAGGAAGGGGTAGATTATAGTACTGAGAGACATGGTTAGTGGACATGGTGGGAATCTTTGGGGATGTACTTGATAATCTTAGAGGTCTTTTCTATTCTATGATTCCGTGTTACAGAGCCAGGCTATATGTCTGAAAGCCTTATCTTCTAAGGTCCATTGTCCCCAAATTCGCACTTCTGAATGTACTCTTCCAAAGTTAGACACCTGGCTCATTAATCAAACATTTTCCTCACTCATTGTCACATCTGTTAAATCACCAGTGCATAATTAGAACAGTGCTGGTTTAACAACTCTTCAGAGCTGTCTTATTTTAATGAATAGTATTGTGCAGATCCAACATAAACAGTGGCAATACAAGTTCCCTTCTTCTGTGTTAAAAGGTTTCCATTGTGGAACAGTCAGCTTTAGATGGGAATTATTAACTTGCTTTTAGTCTGTATTCCCTATCCTGTTTGTGTGTGCTCAAGTTGCCCAAAGCAGGGGCAGGTTTTTTCTTAGTAATGTCTGTTGAAAACAGAACTGCTGTGATAAACTCCTTGTGTAGGGAGAAGGGGCTAGCAGTGATATAAGGGAATTAATTGCTTTTGAAGCATGAAAAATATCTGTTAGGTTCTCTGGAGGTCTTAATTTAAAGATGTTTTCTAAACCACATCTGTATGTATGTATTTGTGTAGTGCATCTTGTTCAAGCTGTCTGGGAAATAGTTAATAACTAATAAATAGCTGCTATTTTGAGCCAGCAGCATATGAATGTTAACAGCTGGAGGCTGGGCAAGTCTTCTGTTAGATAGAGCCAAAAAAAGCCCGCACATTAATCACTGTGTGGCATCCTGATGTTTGTGATGCTGCCTCAAGACGTGATCACAATATGTTCTCCATCATCTGTTTGAGGTGCCTATCACCAGGAGTATAAGTGACATGCTTACCAGTCATTTAGCACTTAGCAATACTTTATTGCATGTTACAGTTCCAAAATAAATGACATGATGCCACATTTAGCTAAGCAATTTCAGTGTTTAACAAGCATTTTATTTATACCTTTTGCTGTCACAAAGCCACGAAGAGCAGGTTGCCAATTCACCCACAACCTACCTACAAGGCCTGGATATTCTGGGTATTCAACCTAGCTATGAGGCCTGGGTATTCTGCAAGGGGGAGGGTATGGAGGGCCGCATGGTTTCTTTTGCTTGTTGGAGTTGTTTGTCTGTACCCCTGCGATGCTTCTAGGTCTGCCTTCCTCATCAGTTTTATAGTCCTACAACCCAAAACAAAAATAAAAAAAAAAAAAAAAGATGAGAGGAAAAGTGTATGGGACTGTGTTCTGTTATGGTTGTTTCCAGATGGAGCTGGACTCAATGGATTCCTGTGAGTCCCTTCCAACTCAGAATATTCTCTGATTCTATGAAGTGTGTTTTAAGACTCCTTTAGAAATTTTGTTTCATTTCTTTCTCTTAACAAAAAAGAATAACTGTGATAATGGTGGATGTATGCAAAAATATTCAGATGCCAGACATGCTCCCTAACAAACGCTTAGCCAGTAATGAATGTAGCACAACTACTTAAGGCTTTCCATTTCAGATGATGAGATATATTTTGAATAATCAAATAAGGAGTTTTTGATTTGTGTGTGATACCCAACAATGCAAGTATTACTGTTTTCAGCTTGGAAAATAGAATACGGTCTTGCATCCTAACAGGTTTCACCCAGCTATATGCTTTGGACTCTTCTAAAACCCTGCCATTTGTGACCAGGTTTCCCATTGGATTTCTCTGCCTTTCCACAACTCTCCTCAAACTCCAGGGGAAACTGCATCAGAGTGTGCAGCAAACAAATCTTAGTGAACTGCAAACCTGTTTTTCAGTGGCTTGCTAGGAGCATACCCTAGAGCATCATATTGTTGTGTTACTGCGGGCCATCTTTTACACAAGGATGGAGAGGAAAGGATTACTTCTTGCTGCCTGCCAATTAGTGGATGGCATCAGAATGGTGAGAGAAACAGAAGCCTTGGCTCATGAATCATGATTAGGCTGTAGCGGCCCAGCTGTGAAAACTCGTAGAAACTTTGCAGCCAAAGGCAGAGAATGAGAGTTTTAGTCTGAACAGCTTTTAGCATGAACTGTTTTGTGCTGTTATATACAACACTGTTCATAAATACCCCTTCTTGTTAATAGTTCCATTTTGATTTTTCTTTTTGTTTTGTTTGTTTTTTATCCCCACACATCCTTTCCTCTTTTGATGGGAAACTCAGTGCAGCATCTTAATGCAATTACAGTTCCTTTGTTGATTAATGTAGGTTTAATTGCAAGAGTAGCTTACATGCTTGTATTTTAAGAGTCTTGTGTAAGAGATTAATGAAAGATTGAATAATGCTGAATGCATTAAACAACATTATATTATATAACCAAATAAATATTAAGAATTGTTACAACAGTGGACACTTTAATGAACCCCCCCTTTTGCTAAATAGGTTATAATAAATGCTGAAAATGTGATGTCATATTTAGCAATGTATGGAAAAAGGATGACAAATTTAAGAAGGGAAGACTGTACAGGTGAAATATAACTAATTTACGGATAACAGTTTATTTGTTTAAAGTATTGTATAGTTGAATAGAGCTGATAGCTTTTGTGGGGATTTTAAGTCTTGATGTGGCAAGTCAGAGCAAATGTGAAGGAGATAAAGAAAATGACCTTTCCTTCTGCCTTTCTTCTGTCCACGTTTGAAAGGGGACATGGGTGTATATGTAGGGCACAGTGCAGACAGAGCTCAGTTACCATCAGTCTGCTATCCAGCTTATTCTGTGCAGTGATGCAGAGGGAAACGAGCCCTGATTCTGCAGCCAGGGACCAGGCCTAATTAGCTGCATATCTCCCTGTTTCAAAGCTTATTTGTCCAGGGCTATAGTTCTTACAAATCAGGCAAAGAAAGATAAACATAGAGGCAGAATCATAAGGGACAGCATTTAGATCTGTTTTTTTGAATAAGGCTCAACAGCTCCTCACAAAGCAAGGAGCTTGAAAAGTGGCTGATATGCAGACATGGCATTGGAAGAAGCATTTTCCAGATGACAAAATGATGTCTAAGGCTTTTTTAAATTTTTTTTCCCCCCACTGTTTCCAATATGATGTTTTTTCAATACTTTCTTTTTCTTCAAAATTCAAAACCACTCTTCTCCTGAGAAAAGAACAAATCATTAAGGTCAAACTCTTGACAAACTTCTTTTTAATAAATAAACATATCTATTCCCTGTAGCAATCATCCCAGTACACAGTCTCCCCAGGGTTTCAGCAGCATACGTCTAGTTTCCCATAGAGAGGACTGCAGTTTTCTTTTAAATCCACCACGTGGTGATCTTATCACCTCAGTCAGTGAGTTGGTTGGTGTTACCTTAGGCACCTATACAGGGAAAAAGTGGAATCTGTCTCTCTTTTGTTTTAGTCCACTGATGAATTCTGAGTTTATTTTCCATGGTGGACAGGAGGAATGGTTATAATGTGCTTTTTCTCTGCTTTTGAACTAGAAGGGTTTATTCTATGCACAGAAGTGCTATTTCTGAATTTATTTCTAAGATTGTCTGAAAACAAAAGAAAAAAAAAGTTGTAACTTAAACCCCTCTGAAATTCTGTTTGAATTGAACATTTGATTCCTGGAAAGGTTGATTGTAAATCCAGCTTTAAAAATAGGTTAATAATGTTTTTAGGGCAATTTCAGTAAATCAGCATTGCTATCAGCCTTAGCTGTGCAAACTTGTTTTCTTATGGCCTAATTTTTATTTTCTTGGTTCTTAAGTGGAACATTAAAAAGTACAAAATAGCTTTATGGTTTTTTTCACGAGAATTCCATTACACTGAAAACTGTTCTGCCAAAGCCATTCCCTGCAATCAAGAGATTATGTCTCAGTGGCATTGCGCTTATACTGTGTGTACAAGGTTTTGCTGGAAGCATACAAAATTTTGCAGTTGAGCACAAGCTGGATGAACAAAGTCATTTTCTGTAGGATTCAGATTAGTTTAAATCCCAAATCCACAAGATTCCACTTGGATACAGAGTATGAGAGTAGCTCCTGGTGGTGGTGTTTCATATTGCCAATACTTTGCAGCTGAGCTAGTCAGGTGTTAGCATTAATTGTATTACTTTTGTGGTGGTATAATAAGTAACTGAAGATTTTTATTAAATGCTGGAAATGTTAAGTGCCACATTCCCTAAGAAAGAATTGGGATATCTGCCTGGGTTGCATACTGCTTATGTTTGAGGTAGTAGGGACAATAATTAATAAACTGAACCAAATCCAAAAATTTTCACATCTAGAATATTTTCAGTGATGTGCCAAACAAAAGGCATGTTGTCCATGCATTTAGTTTCTGGTGGTTATCTCATGAGAGGTTCTTTGTACGTGGTGGAAATCTATTCTTTGTACTTTATAGATTAAAAATTTCCTCACAGCCTTAGAAGATCCTTTTGTCTTCTTGCCTCAGGACAGCTGATTTATCTTCATTCTGTTTGCTGTTGTGCACAGTTTTTTTCTCCAAAAGTTATTTTTTCCTTTTGACTGGATTTGGGTAATTTGGTTCTAGTTATGTTACATAGTAACTTCAGTTTAGATTGTACGTCAAAATGTTGCATCTTCTTGGCTTATTGGATGATTAGCCTTATGAATGAATTGGTCTGTGATTTCTGGTTAGTGTACTCCTTAATCTTTAGATTAGCAGTAGGATTAGGCTAAACATAACAGGATGCCCAAAAAGCAAAATCAGAAAAGGTCTTTATATGTTGTTCTACAGAGCTATTTATACATTTTTCCTCATCTCGTACCTGTGTGCTTCCATTAGTTTTTCTATACTACTTCTTATTTTAATTCTTTTACTTCTCCCTTCCCCTCTCGTTCTGCAGATACCTCAAGATTCATTAAAAATTACTTCCTGCAACACACTTTAAAGCACACTTATCTTTCTTCTACATTAGATGCATTAAATTTTTTTCAACATCAATGTTATCCTTTTATTGAGTTACAACCCTGAATTCTATTGGGTGTCATGTAATCTTAGCTAGATATAAAACAATATTAGTTTTATACTGGTATTTTATGTTCCACTTTACCTTCCACTAAGCATTTTACTTCCTATAAGAAAGAGGATTTTTCTTTAGTGCAAACTGTCATGCAAAATGTTTCTGTGTGGTGTTGAAAGAAACATAGTAAGGACACAGTGCATATCTATTCTTTTTTTTGTAGTAGTAGTAGTAGTAGTGCATTATCTTTATAGCTTAACCAAGTGACAGGTCTCCCATGTAGTCATTCCTGATGAACACACCAACCAAAACATCTTCCCTCTTCCTTTGAAAATGAATCGGTTTTAATTGCTACCTTTAAGCTTAGTGTCTGTAATCATGACAAAAAAAAAATTCATCAGCTTCTGAATTTGTAATTGGTCTTGAAGCCAGATTCATGTCACCACTCTACTGACACCTGCAAATTAGACTAAGAATTATTGCAGTCCATCTTTTGTGTAAATTAAGGTTTTCCTAATCAGAACTGTTATGAATGGAGAATTATGAAATTAACTGTAATTTGGAAAAAAGTGATCTTTCCTTTTGTGTACTCACTTTTATTGTTACTTCATTTGTAGGTAACTTTCAAAGCATCGAGATACTCAGTTTCACCAGACTTAAGATTTGTTCTTCTTGCATACGATGTAAAACAGGTAAGCCAACAGTTCATTGGTAAATAATCCTTTAAATTAAAAAGCAGAAGCCCTTGTTGTTTTGTGTATTCTGTATGTGACTCCACGTAACATAGTTTGAATCAAGTACTTAATTTCTCTTTCCATGACTTTCTAATAAAATGATGGTAACATATGTATTTAATCAGAAATACTGCAAGGTTTTCAATTGAAGTAAATTGCTCTGACTTCTCTGTAGTGTTCCACCTGTTGTATTGTGGAGGTTTCATAATCCTTAAACTCTTACTAGCTGATTACATGAAATATTCTAGATTATATGAAATATTCTAGAGGTATCAGTGTAAAATTACTCATCGACTTGAGACTAGATCCAAGTAGATATTTTTCTACTGATTCTGCTGGATTCATCAAACTTTTCTTATAGCATGTATGGACGGATCAGCAAGAAAGAGGTATTGTTTGGTTAACTGGTTTTGTTGTGGAGGGTTTGATTCTTATGTAAAAAATTCTTTCTCCTTACCGTTTCCCTTCTTCATTGTTCCTTATTATGGAAAGAGTTCTTGTAATCTTTCATAATAACTTAATTTCCTTATTTGACCTAGTGAAATTTTTATTTTGAATGAGTTTGTTTAGGATTTTCTTAGCAATGCAGGCAATAGAGAAAAACAGAAAGTCATGAAAATATCCTCCTCACTAGACTTAAACGCAGCAGGGTCAGTGTTGAATCTGTCCCTCAGTAAATGTGATCCACTGACATCAAACAGCAGTGATGGTGGTTAGCTTTGGATGAGGGTTGTGATGCTTGTTCTGGAGTCCTGTGACTGATCTCATGGTTTTCAAACCAGAACAATGTTTACATGCTCTAGAAGTGGTAGTGGCAGTGCTAAAACTGGTTAATAGCATGCTGTTGTCAGCTTGATCCTCAGTTCTTGTTAGCAGTAATGCCATTGAATTTTCTCACGTTCCGAAAAGAATCTATTCCTTAGGGTAAGAAGGAAAATTACCAAAAAGTGTAGTCCACTTTCAAAACTTAGTAAAGTTACTATTGTGAATATGTGGTAAAAAGCAATTTTTTTTATTTTTTATTTATTTTTAAAATATTCTGATTCTTGAGAAATTTCTTAGGCTGGCGAGGCACTTCCATGTTTTCTCAAAATCCTGGGGGGATAAGGTGTACAATGCCTTGGGAAACCTCTGTATATCCGTGTCATTATTTCTTGTATCATGAAGGAGTAAGATAATGCTCTTTTCCTGGATTGCCTTGTGTTTTTCCTCAATCAGAGCCTGATGTAGTGATTCTGGAAAAGAGGCGATCCACTCATCTTTCTTTTTCCACTTGTTCACCATCACTCATTAAATCAATTGTCTATAAAGTTAAGAAAAATAAACTTTGTAAATAAATTGGAGATTTTTAAATAAGTAGCAGGAGAATCAGGGGAGACTCTTTCCTCAGAAGAATGTATTTGAGTGTAGGACGATACATTTGAATATATCTTCTTACAAAAGTGAGGATTTGCTTCTTGTTGCATATTAAAACACAGTGGATTTTAAGGGGCAATGGTTTAATACCCTGTAAAAGGAACTGCAAATAACTTGCAGGCATTTAGGTGGCATCTCTGGAAGTTTTAATAGATCTCTGGACCTGTTTCCCTCTGTCACTTATTTTTCCATCTTTGTTACGGTTTAGGTGATTTAATTGCACTGTAAGATATTTGATGGGTTTTCTGCTCTTACTGAGTATTGAGGCTTTTTTTTTTAATGATAATGGTTGTTTACATACATTAGTATGTGTTCTTTGTAACATACAGTGATGCAGCTGGAACAAAGTTATTAATCAACAGTTTTATGAATAAGCTAATGTGCTTCAGCTGAATGGATTGAAAATAATAGAGGTAAATGTTTCTTCAAGACATTTTTTCATGGAATCATAATTGGAAATAAGGTTATTTTGATGTTTCGATTAAAAATAAATGTTGAGTTAAATTTAGTAGTTGAATATTTATTTTACTATTGTCAGCATTTTCTTTAATCTATTTTATGCTTGAAATAGCAAACTTTAATTAAATTTGCAGTTGTTTCAGCACAATTAAGAATGTCCTCTATGCATAATGGCACATAAATCTGCATGAAAATAAGGCATCTTTGAGTACAAAACTAATAATTGAATGAATTATTTAAACCATGCATAGTGGAAGGAGCAAAACTGTTCTATTTGGCATAGCAGTTGTTTTAGTGCATCTCTATAAACTTGGAATTCCTTTGCTGTGCAATTCAAAGTCTTGTAAATTGATTTCTGGACATCAGGATCTCCCCATCCTTATCATAGCAGATCATAAGATGTAAGCCAGCATTTCTGGCATAAGCACTGCAGCTGTCTGGCAAATTCCTATTTTTTTTTTTAACATAAGTCTTTTGCAATTTTAGAGGACCTTTCTTTGTACTCTTTGCTGTAGCATTCCATGCTTCTGAAATGCTTTCATCAATTCTCCAAGTATTTGACTTTGCCATAACTTGCATGGATTGACTGTATGTAGTTCAGATTGGTCATTCACTGTAATTTGATTGGCATCACTGAAAAAGTCTAATTTTTGCAAGGCGACAGATCAGTATGTAGGAATGAATTTGAGAAATTAACACACGTGTTCTTGCTGAATGTCCTACCAACCTGTTTCTTCTGGGACCATGCGAGTGCAGCAGCAGGGAAACCTTTGTGTGTATTGTGTGCAGGGGGGGGACAGTTCTGCAGTGATATATCCTTTTGATTTTGATTTTTCTTTGAAGATTATCACGGTATGAGCAGAGAATGTGATACTGTGAGAGTTTGAACATCTAAGCCAGTTGAGATTTCCAGAGGAAAGGTTGTTTCTCTATTGCTTTTAATAACGTGTGTGTTAAAATGACCTTTAAACCTTTTCGCACTCTGCTGGTGGTATTTTTCACAACTACCAAAAACTGCATTATACTTTTGATTAGAAAATGGAAATCAAACATTCCATTCTTGTGTTAATGGTAAAGGATGGGGCAGTAAATCTACAATTCTGTAGTGCAGTAAACACTTAGATGCAGAGAATTTCTTTTTGCCAGTGAGAATTTTGTATGTCTCTCAGCAGAAAGTTGTCCCTGGAGACCGAGTGAAACTAAAATAATTTTTTTTCTAGATACAAGTGCTTTTTTTTTTATTATTATTCTTTTTTTTTATCGTGGGCATCATAGGCATCTTCTCACCTTGTTCTTGCTAGAATACAATATGCCCTCATATAATGAATAATGAGCAAATGAGTAAGTAAATGGGATCAATGTCTCTTTTTCTTTGTAAATCCTTTTGTTATCCTCACTTGGTTTAATAATTTCTTCTTGTGACTTACTGTTGTTTTGTTTTTTTTTTCCTACAAAATACCCTTTCCCTTTTTTTGCTTTCAAATCCCTATTGAATACCAACTTTCAGGATTTTTTCCTTCTTTATTCTCTTTCCTATTACTAATGCTTATTTTCCTCTTTCAGCCTATACTGTGTTATTTGTGGTTTGACTTCAGCTTTTGGTTCAGAAACACGCTTAATAATATATTAAAGTTCATCTCTAGTTTAGAAGCATAAGGATTTACAAATTCTCTAAAGTAGAAAATGCTTTTCCTGAGATGGGGCTTCAAAGTGTAATGTCTTTTAGCTAGATAATTTTAATAAAATAGTGTAGTTAGCTAACATCAGTGTAAAAATAATAATTCTTATGGTAAGATTAGGATAAAAAAAATAATACTCTTCACGAAGAGGAGCTGTGAATCTAAATGGGTGGAATGTACATTTTTCATTCAGTAGGAATGAAATTTTTTTTCAAAACTGCTTCTGAATATTTGTAAATTACTGTATCGAAGGGAAGACAAGAATTCAGCAGCAAACCCCAAGAGAAAGAAGTTAGTTATCTGCGGTGCGTTGATGCCTGTCATCACTTCACTGCTGTAATCTCTATTTTTAGAGGGTAATGATAGGGAGTACCGACCACAGTCTATGGCAAATGGAGAGAGAGTAGCATGAAGGGGTGTTCTCATCCAACTCTCAGAGTTTGTGTGTGATACAGGCAGCGTATCAAGTGCACTGAAGTGCTCTTCAGGAGTTTATCTGCAGATTAGAAGAATCCATGAGGGGAAAAAATTCAGTGGAGCCTTAAATTATCTGATTGACATTAAGAGATTATCTTCCCACTAATTAGATGGAAATTAAATGTTCAGTTGTTGATAATCTTCTCAGTCAGTGAAATTAATCATTAGAATTTTTTCCGTTGAAAATTAAAGGATAAAGAAATTACCTTGTGTTATTTCTTAATTTTAGTCAAGGCACTGTTTGGTGTTAAATACTCGGAATGTGTGCAAGTGTTTTCAACAAGATTTTTATGCAGTACTTCTGAAAATCTGACTTTGAAGAGCATTATCTGGAGTATGAGCTGAAGTTTGGTAACATACAGGAAAAAAGATCAAATGAGAGCTGTCTTCCAACACAGAAAAAATATTTACCACGAGGTCTGTCCTTTCAAAAGATTTCTTATATCAGTAATGATCTAGACAGTATTTTATGTACTGATGTATATGAAGCAAATATCTGATATAAAATTCCTGCTATCGTTTTTTTTTCTCCAGAAATGCATGTTTCTTCACTATTTATGTCTTTCTTAGATCATTCTCTCTAACTAAAAAAGCCAATAACCTAGAAGATTAAATATTAAGCCTATTCTGTAATATCAGAGAATGAAATCAGCCTCTAAAATTTAATTACTGTTAGCAGATTTGAGGTAAGCAAACCAAGTGAATGGGTTGAAAACATATTCCTCTTTGTTTGGAAATTACAGGAAGTATTTTTTTGGATGAAGACTGTGGTAAGGAAAGAAAGCGTGGGATTACAGTCATATGTTAAATTATATCTATTAATTATTCCTGAATAATAATATGTGGAAACATTTGTGATAAACCTGGGTTTGCATAATATTTCTCACCTTTTACTGAGCCTCCCACATCTTGACACTATGCTTATAT